TATTTAAAATATTCAACTTACAAATATAAATTAAATAGAATAAACTAAAACATTAAATAAATACATAAATATAGATAAAACTTCAGAGAGGAAACAAATCTTTATACCTGTTTGTCCAGGTAACCCTTTCCCTCTGGATCAGCCAGGTCCCAAATCTAAAAATGAACAGAAATACATAGGAATAATTAAGGAGAGAAAAATACAGAAATTGCAAACTTTAGCTTATTCCTGGTTTCCTAAACCCCCTTACCCCAAGATAAATGGAAAAAGGATTTCAAATGTGTAACCTAGTTGCAAATCTTTGAAAGAGAACCAGACATTTAAACAATACACATGGCATATTGTACAGTACGTCAAACTGTCAAATGTCAGTAAATAATTATCTTTATTAAAAATCTTTATTAATGGATTAAAAATTAAGCTCATGTATGAGGAGGTATTGAGTAGAATTCATAGACCAAAAAGAGACTTTATCCCTTTTTACTTGTGCATGTCACTATGAAAAATAGTTGAGGACTAGTTCAAACACTTTACAAGAGAGACTGTTTCTGATAAAAGCATTATTGCAACTTTTACGGGGGGAAAAAAACTAAGAATCAACAAATTAATTGTGCAACTGAATCTCGTATGGTAATTAAAGCTAACCTGTACTGAGAGGAAATGAGAGATTGCCATTCCTGACTTCCCTCTGAAACGACTATTAACCTGGCTGTCTCTGGCTTTAATACTCTGAGACGATAACCTGAAACAAACAACTAAATCAGGAGAGCCAGAGTGAAGTCAGATGCTAATCTGCATACTCGAGTCTGTGATTTAGAGAGTACTGAAGCCATTTTAGCAGCATGACGGGCAACTTGTATATTCATCAAGATAGGTCTGCAATGGTTTTCTTTAACCCCTTCGTGACTGACGACGTACAGTGTACGTCGCCAGCATCGGGGCTGTTTAAACAGACTCCCGGCGACTTTTGCCGCCGGGACTCTGTTTAAACTTGTAGAGCCGACTGTCGGCTTTACAACAGAAGCGATCCTGGCGACTTACCTGTCGCCAGATCGCTTCTGTGTCCCGAAGAAGGGGCCACCCCCCGCCGGACACCCCCGCCGTGCTTCCCGG